TAATTATTCTCTTATGACACTCTTTGTACCCCCTGTATCTATCATAGTTGTTGTTTGTATCTTATGCTATTTTGCTAATTCTATTTCACAATTTATGGTAATTAAAGAACTATTTTTTGACTTCTCCATACTATAAACAGTATTTCCTAATATTTTAGTACTTTCTTGTGATTCTGCTGAATTAACTTCTAATAACCTATTAATATGACACTTTTCACATAATATTGAATATGTATTATAGTATTTATTTGCAACTAATTTACTACACGTATAACATTTTTTTGGCCAACCTAGATTAATGTATTTATATTCTTCTTCATGTTGCTCTTCTATGAATGCACACATATATTCTTCTAAATCACTATTTGTGCTACTTGAATCTTCAGAATCTGAATCTATCATGTTAATACTCTTATACTATAAATACTCTCATTATCACTTAAATCATCTAAACTGTATATTGACTGAATATCTTCATCTTCTTCTAACATAAACAACTCCATCAAATATACTTTTTCTTTTGACTGTTTACCTAATTTTGGACATTTAGGTCTAATATGTCCAGCTTCTCCACATGAATAACATTTACAACTACTCTTATCTTTTGGTGCTTTATATTTTCTAATCCAAGGTCTACCACTTCTTTTGCTTTTCAGGAAATAATTATAGTTGGGAAATATGGTTAATAAAGATTTGATTCATGAAGCAAGCCCAGTTAAATAGTCGGATGGCCATTATAACAACTAGACATGAAACCTTGCACATATACCAGATTCGTGAAGCAGGCCCAGTTAAATAGTCAGATGGTCATTATAACAACTAGACATGAAACCTTGCACATGGAACTCGACATATTTCAGCATGACGGCCACTCACAATACAAGTATAAGGCCTTAACGGCTGAACTCAGAGGTATGAAGAACTCAGAGGTACCTTGGTTAATGTCCAGTTATTTGTATGACAAGCATTCAACTATAACAGAGTGCTCGAACAAAGCATGATCGTTAGTTTAGCAGGTTAATAATATAACTACAATAGTGTTTCCCTATTTTGGATTAGATGTCTAATTAAACAAACACACTAAAGAAAGAAAAGAAAGCTTACTTAAGACTTGGAGATTGCTTGAATATGTACACTTGAACTTTTATTGATATATGAAATGTTTACAAAGATAGTTGTTTACAAGAAAGTGTTTTCAAGGACGTGTTTACAAAGATGCTATGAAGGCTACAGATGCTTAAGAGTATGAAGATGGTGTGAGTATATGGTGAGAGTAGGGTGTTCAACTGTTGGGATGTTGAAAGGTATATATTTACAATGAATGAAACTTCACTTATATAGACTGAATTAAGATACAATGTTAATAAAATTATTTATAAATAAATGGTGTGGACACCTCTTTGGTACTTGTCATTTGTCACTATGCTTCTACTGTTGCTGAAATTGTCAGCACTGTTTCTGAAACGTGGCCTGATTTTTGGTTTACATGTAAACTTGCTTGTCTCCTTTTGCATGTGAATTTGCTTCATGGTTTGTCTCCTGGTGCCCAACTTTTGCATGTGATATCCCTGAAATGCTCTTTGCCTTAAAATACTCTCTCTCTTGTCTTCTTTTACATGCCCATTTTGGGTATTATTGAATTGTTTTGTCCTTATGATTAAAATGAAACCTTTGAAGGTGTTTTGGTTAGTTTTCCATTTTTTAAATATAGAACATTATTACATGATGTTAGATTATAAAAATTTAGGAGCCCCTTCAAATTTGAGACTCTATACAATTGCACATTTCACTCCCTCTCAAAATCCCCTCTAGACTCGACAAGCATTTGAGATCGACGCAAGTTGTTATCGAGCTAAGCAAAAAGTTTGAATACCATAGGACAATTTAAATAAAATAAAATAAAACCTCTTAAATTGTAGATTAGTAGTGCGGATCACGTTATACTTGCAATATTATTTTCCAATAATGATATGTACGTGCTTAATCTTACTATAATATACATTTGTCCTACTATAATATATGTTTGTACCTCTCAATGATCACGCTCCTTTGCTTCACCATGCGAATTACGCAAAGTTAACTAAGCTCAAGCACACTACGCAAGAAGAAAGTAGCTAGGAATATTCAAATGCTAACCAGCCGTTTGTCTAGTGTTATACTTAGGGGTGGTTCGGTATGGGATCCCATACCGAAACCCTTGTCCCAATTCCCAAACCGAAATTTTCGGGAATCCCAATTTCAATACTGATCCCAAACCAAATTTTCGGGAATCCCGAAATAGTTTCGGGATTTCGGAACAAATCGGGAATCCCGAAATGGTTTTCGACTTTTGGGCTTTTGGACTAAAATTTGACATATTATGCTTTTGAGCTCAATTTGCCAATTTGTTTCTACTAATCTGCCAATCAAATGGCAAGGCATGTTTGTACTAATTTGTGCACAAATTTGAGTCCGTGTACACCAGTAAGTAAAAATGGATTTAATAATGGATGGAAGGAAAAAGAAAGTCTGTGTACACCAGTAAGTACAATTGTAGCATAAAAAATAATACACCAGCTTAAATTTCTATATAGCACATGAATCTTTCATCTCAATGCATATGTGAACCATCCAGATGAAGAATTATTAAGGAGGGGCAAGGTATCAAATAATCAAATAATCAAATTTATATTCAATGGTTGAGATTAAATCTCAACAGAATCCGACAACTATTAAAAATCTAAATATATATTTAAAAATTAACAATATATATATATATAATTTTTTTTTGGTTTGGTTTGGGAATACCGAAATCCCAAAAACTTGAGACCGATTCCCGTACCAAAATTTCGGGATCGGTTCGGTATTGGGTATCGAAATTTTTGGGAATTTCGGTTTGGGATTTTTTCGGTTTGGTTTCGGGAATTTTTCTTTTTTTTGTTAGGACATCTTGTATGTACATTTTCATATAGCTTATAATTAAATATTTTTTCTCGGTTTATTATTTATTGTTTAGAATTTAATTACAATATTTATTAAAAATTAAATCAAAAATAGTTTTGTAAAAAATTAAAAAAAAACGTTTGCGTGACGTGACGTATATACGTTGCGCAAAGAGACCTTGCGTGACGTTAGGCATGCGCGTCGCGCAATCAAACTTTGCATGACTTATGTACGTCGCGCAAAGAGACCTTGCGTGACGTTAGGAATTTGCGTCGCGCAATCAAACTTTGCGTGACGTAGGCACATCTTTGCGTGACGTATGTGCGTCGCGCAAAGAGACTTTATGTGACATTAGGAATGTGCGTCGCGCAATCAAACTTAAAGTTTATTTATACTTTCATTAAGTATAACATAAGATTTTGTGGTATCCACTTGTGTTAATACTTTAAATTGACGATCGAATTAGTTCATTGTATTCATATAGGATCCAGGAGTGTAGCTGTAAAAAATCATCAAAATCAGAGTTAAAACTACCGTTAAATCGTGATTTTTCCTTTATAACCGTCGACATTTTTTGTCCCGTTACTTGATCTCTGCATGTTTTTTTTGCCATTTTTGGCGTATGCGATCTCGAAGCATATACAAACAAGTTTGACGGTTGGATCGTTCAAATTAGTTTCGTACAATGCGTTTCCCATCAAAACGATAGATTCACTAACACTTAGAGTTTATTTATACTTTCATTAAGTATAACATAAGATTTTGTGGTATCCACTTGTATTAATACTTTAAATTGATGATCGAATTAATTCATTGTATTCATATAGGATCCAGGAGTGTAGCTGTAAAAAATCATCAAAATCGGAGTTAAAACTACCGTTAAATCGTGATTTTTCCTTTATAACCGTCGAAATTTGTTGTCCCGTTACTTGATCTCTGCATATTTGTTTTTTGCCATTTTTGGCGTATGCGATCTCGAAGCATATACAAACAAGTTTGACGGTTGGATCGTTCAAACTAGTTTCGTACAATGCGTTTCCCATCAAAACGATAGATTCACTAACACTTAGTTTATTTATACTTTCATTAAGTATAACATAAGATTTTGTGGTATCCACTTGTATTAATACTTTAAATTGACGATCAAATTAGTTCATTGTATTCATATAGGATCCAAGAGTGTAGCTGTAAAAAATCATCAAAATCGGAGTTAAAACTACCGTTAAATCGTGATTTTTCCTTTATAACCGTCGAAATTTTTTGTCCCGTTACTTGATCTCTGCATGTTTGTTTTTTGCCATTTTTGGTGTATGCGATCTCAAAGCATATACAAACAAGTTTGACGGTTGGATTGTTCAAATTAGTTTCGTACAATGTGTTTCCCATCAAAACGATAGATTCACTAACACTTAGAGTTTATTTATACTTTCATTAAGTATAACATAAGATTTTGTGGTATCCACTTGTATTAATACTTTAAATTGATGATCGAATTAGTTCATTGTATTCATATAGGATCCAGGAGTGTAGCTGTAAAAAATCATCAAAATCGGAGTTAAAATTACCGTTAAATCGTGATTTTTCCTTTATAACCGTCGAAATTTGTTGTCCCGTTACTTGATCTCTGCATATTTTTTTTTTTGCCATTTTTGGCGTATGCGATCTCGAAGCATATACAAACAAGTTTGACGGTTGGATGCTGAAGAGTGATGGACTTGGCGTATGCGATAAATTTTTTAATAATTTTCTTAAAAAAACAAATTACTTTGCGCGATGCTTTAATGTAATCGTCGCGCAAAACCACTTTGCGCGACGTCAAATTGTATACCCACGTCGCGCCAGTTGAAAATTTTGGAGGTAAATAGTGAAAGTTAGGCGCTTTTTTTTTCAATTTTCTAATTTTGGGAACCTTGAACCCGTTCACCTCTTTCTTTCCAGTTGAAAACCTTGAACCCTTCCATCTTTACCGTATTCATCTCTCTTCCAGTAGACGCATATCCTCTTCCCATAGTCCTCATCTCCTCTATCTTTCCCTCTGGCTCTATCTTTCCCGTTTGGGAACCCTGTTGACTTCATCTCCTCTATCTTTCTCGTATCTCCCCTTCCCATAGTCCTCATCTCCTCTATCTCTCCTCTTCGCAACCTTGATCCCCAAATCTTGAACCCAGACCTGTCTTCCCTCTCTCTTTCCCGTATACCTATCTCTTCCCTCTCGTTCTAAACGACGGGCAGCCACACGATCGAAACCGACGGGAATCAACTCCCAAAATCAAGGTAAGGGTTTCTGATGCAAATGTTGGTCTGGTTACTGAATTTAGTTGGTCTGATGCAAAATTAAGGATGAATTGATTTAATTAATTTACTGAATTTAGTTGGTCTGATGCAAATCTGGGTTTTAGTTCTTAAGCTTCACTGGGTTTGGTCAACTGCCAACCTATCTAAGCTTTGTAATGCACTCTTTCATATTAGATAACAGTACCTTTTTGTTTATTTTCAGTTGATTCAGTCACACATTGGTTTGCAACAACCGTACTTGGTTTGCCTCGTATTCAGTCACGCATTCAGTCACGCATTTGTTCAAAAGATAACTCAAGGTTGATCCAGTATAAGGTTATCCAATGATTCCAATCTGGTTTGTCATATGATTTTATTTTTGCTTAGCTGATTTACGCGTGTTATTAATTCACCTTTCCTTTTTTCGCTTTTCTGCTCTTTATTTTCTGTCACCTTTTAACATACCTGAAAATGATATGAATGCATACTTCAATTTCAGGGGCAAAAGTTTCTAGCAAAAGTTAGTCTTCACAAGGTACTTGCAGATTCAATATTTTGCTAATGCATTTTAATTGATCAACGTATAAATAGATGCCTTCGCAACATGCTGCTATCTATTGTTAATACTTTCGACCTGTCGCTTGGATAATGGTTTTGTTCTTCTGGTTCATAGGTAAAAGTCATTTTCTTCTCAAAAACAGGGGTGCATGCTGCTCCATTCATACGCCAAACTGCTAAAAATTATTGGAGTCATGCTTCTTTTGCATTCGTGCTATGGTAAGAAGAGGAATTGTCCTTTTGGTTTAATTCTTGAAAGAGTACTGTTCTCCAGGTTCTCCAGATTTTCAAAATATTATGTGACTTGAGTATAAAATAACACAAACACTACTATTGTGAGTTTAAACTTGAACTATTACTATAAATTGGGTACCGAAAATTATGCATCTTTGATTTCATAGGAACTTATATGCTTTCCAACAGGTTTGAGGTAAAATCTACACCTGCTATAGTGATTTTGAAAGATCCTGGTGTCAAACCTGTTGTGTACCACGATTGTACATATAATTGTTAGTTTGATTGCTCTGGGGAGTTTGGTATTCGAAATGGGTTTTGGCTTTTTAGTCTATGAAAATGATTGCTCTGGGGAGTTTGCTATTCGAAATGGTATATTTGGGAAGTATATATAATTGTTAGTTTGATTCATATAATTGTTAGTTTGGTAAAAACCGTAGTTCCAGGTTGAAATTCTTTTCATTTCCGTTATTGCACCCTTTTAGAAAATTAACATTTTGGCATTTTACAGGCAATAGAACTATGGAAGACAAATATGAGGCATCCTCAGGCATCTGAGGTCGTCAACAAGGACATAATATCGCACTTTGTTCTTCGGCTAGTTTATTGCAGAACGTAAGAACTTGTAACATTTTATTCTCGTAAAAGATTTCCTTATTATATCTTATTTTATGTTGTTAATTTTTATTCTGCATAACAAAAATTTTCCTTTTGCTTATTTAATTGGCATTGACTTACATATAGTATTCATGCATGTTAGATGTATTCTGGAAAATCTTGTTCTTTTAGATAGTTGTTGTGAAAAACCTGTATTCTTGTTCTGAAGAATGAGCCCTGCATATGGCTTTTCCAGATTTGTAGGAAGTGTTAACTTTTCACAGGGGATTGAAACTAGAAAACATTTGATGCACATACTTATATATGATATGCCTGACTGCTTAACCCACTGCCTCGAGCTATTACGATATTACCTTAGATGAGAATTTTACTTGAAAAGACTTAAGCAGTGCAGGACCCGACCATTTAAATAATAATTTATTGTTTTTGTTATTTTATTTAAGTTTTTTTTAATATTTTCTTTCAAATAGTCGCACTAACATATATATTGTATGTTTAACAGAAGAAATCTATTGCTGGCAAGAAAGCTCGAGACTCAAAGACACTTCTCCACCATTCCGGTTCGAAGCCCTTTTCGTATAGGGTTGAGGCACGACGTGAGGTAAAAGTATATTAATTTTGAAATTTTATACAATTTATTTTTTATTATTGATTAATAAAATTTTCTTAATGTTTTTTTTTTCTTTAGGAGGGTTCTAAGTTCCCACAGATTGACCTGTTCAAGCATGTTTACGTTCATCCCAACAATGAGAACAGTGACCAGCTTTATGTAAGTATATGTAATTGTTATTTTTCTTATTTTTATGAATCGTTCAAATATTATTTATATTTTGTTATTAAACATTATATGTTTTTTCTTTATTATTACAGGGTGATATGGTGGAAAAGAGCACTGCTATTCTCCAAGAAGCAACATCGCAGCTTCCCCCAGAGACCCCGATCGAGAACATCATTGTACCCAAGGATGCAGATGTTCAGATCGTGACTGAGGTCCTGGATCAGAAGTTCGGTCGTCGTCATGGTAAGGTTGTTCGGTGTACGGGGAAGGCGGGGGTTCGTGAAACGGGTGCCTCTTCTTCCAGATTGTCCACAGAAGAGGTCAATTCCTTGAAGGAGAAAGTGACAACCCTAAGAGGTCAGGTTGCGGCCCAGGGCGACCATATTAGGGCCCAGGACGAGAGGATGAATATGATTGTTCAGGCCTTAGCGATGTCCGGCCTCCAAATCCCGACGATGCTAGCACCTAATGTTGCTCCACCTTCGACTTCCCAGCCATTTCGCCCAAACGATACCGAGTAGCATGATGTATTAAACTTAGAATGTCACAGCCCGTCCCGAGATTTTCATATCAGGAGTGTGAAATGACGGAAATACCCTTGACGTCACTAAGGTGTGTGTGTGACATGTTTTGGATATTTCATATTTTTCCTAAACTATTGGAAATGTCATTTAAGTTGGATAAAAATATTGAAAAGTTGGATTGTTTGTTTGGTTAGGGATTTAGAGAATGGATGGTGTGGATTGATTTTGGTCACCTATACCCTCACACTTTCCTTCTCTCTATCCCGTGGCTCTCTCTCTCCTCCATCCCGACTCTCTCTCTACACACACCCATACGTACGGACACACCCAAAAATCTTCCAAACTCGACGGATCGAGGCAACCAAGGTATGCATCTTCATCCTTGAGTCATTTTAAGTCGATTGGTACTAGTTTTAGGAAGTGAAACCCTCGGAATCACGTGAAACCCGAACCTATATTTTTTCGTCACTGTTCATGCACTCGTAATATGTTGTGTTTCAGGGAATTCTAAGCTTATAGTGAGCTTAGTGAGGTCCCAAGGAAGCTCGGAGTGCTTCGTTGGAAGGATTTGGACGTCGGGATCACGAGGGTTAAGTTTGGCCGATTTTGTTTGGATTTTTCCGGTGAGATTTCTTGATTTTTAGAGCCTTAAACTAGTCTATTGTGATTCTACATGTTGAGGGCTTTAAATTGATATATTATACGAAGAAAATGGTTGAGAAACGAAGGAGAACGAAGCATTTGAAAATTCCCCAGTTTTCCGGCCGCCGGAAAAACCAGTCCGGCGAACCAAGGTTGGGGATGATGCGCGTGGGGGCGCGTGTCCCCGTGCTTGTCCTGGCGCGTGGGGGCGCGTGGCACATCAAAAAAAATAATCTAAAAATATGTCGACGTTCGTGACGTCGAGTAGATCACTGTGGTATATTCATATACCCAAATTGAGTACCGTATGAGAAAGTTATTACGATTATTGGTTAGGTGCTTTAAATAACGTTTTATAGTTTTCGCCTTTAGGTGAAAATATGAATTGACGATCCGACCGTTGGATCGTCACCAAACTTTGATACGTTGAAATACGTAATATTTGAGGATTATTGGAACTTACGGATTGGGAATCCGAGTTACGGATCTTCCGGAATTGGAGTTGTAAGTTCATAAAATAAAATGTTAACCGTCACTTAGTTTTGGAAATTGACGGAGATCCGACCGTTGGATGGTAATGAAATTTCAGGATGTTGTCCTAGAGATATATTGTGGACCTCTGGAAGTTATGGATTTAAAATCTGAGTTGCAGATCTTTCGGATCAATCTATGTAGTGACGTATTTTATATAAGTTATATTCTATCGATATGATTTTTGAGGTTGGATTTGATTATTGTTCTAGGCGGCGATCGTCATGACGCCTTGATGAGTTGTGCTAGGGAGTTGTAGGGCGAACTCCAGGTGAGTGGGCAGTTTTGTTTTCGTAATACCTATATACTATTGAGTTTTCCCAGAAATTGAATTTAAATGAAAGCATGATTTAAAATGCCATGGATAGATTTATATGAAAAGTATGATTTGAAATGCCATGCATAGAAGTATATGAAAAGCATGAATTGATATATGATGCATATATATATATTTGAATTGGTGCTGTGGACGCACAGGTAAGTATCAGGTGAGTTTTATATTATTCATGTGCATTGTTGATGTGTATATTGTGGATAGCTCATAACCTGCAATCATGGTGTTAGTGCTTATATTATTCACCACACCGCACGCTCGTCTTGGATCCAAGTAGGTGGATGTCGTACAGACCAAGTGAGGGTTCCGACATGCTAGTCGTATAGATTACTAGATGTGATTCCGACTACTGGGTGACCTTAGATTATGTGCACAGATGATTGATTAGAGAAGCACTAGAGCGTATTATTACACCATCCATGTCGTACAGACTACTTCAGGTAGTTCCGACTTATCTGCAGTGTAGTGCCGTACAGGTCATCGAGGTGACTCCGGTTGGATTGGATGTTGAGCTATGGAATTAACCGTACAGGACCAACTGCAGGGTCTCCGGTTAATTCAACTTTTCACCTGTTACATTGATGCTTCATTTATTTTGTTTTCGAAATTAAAACATGGCATACTTTCGGGTTTTAAAGAAAAAATTGATGATTCGAGATTTATGAAAAGTATTATGTTATTATACTATTTTCTGGGAAAAGTATACAGGTTTTACAGTGAGGGGTTAGAATTATTTTTGGCGAAATGTTTTTGAAAAGCTTGGTTTTACTGACCCACTCAATTTTGTTTTTCGCCCCTCCAGGTTCTTGATAGCAGAGTTTTGGTGGCCACGAGGAATCCAACGGTATTCTGACAGAAATCACAAAAGTAGGACTCACCCTCGAGGGTTTCCATTTTAATAATTGTATTTTAAAAGCTTCCGAACTGTGTAAATGGTTACGTCACTCTCATGTGACGGCCAGCATGCCCTCCTTCGGGACGGGGTGTGTCAGTTGGTATCAGAGCCTAGGTTTCAATCTTGGACATCTTTAGAATTTCCTAGTGTCTTCTGTCAGAACTTTACCGCCTCGTAGCAAGCCACGTAGTTGGGATGAGTTTAGTTTCCCGGATATAGTTGCTTAGGGGGGGAAACTATTGCTAATATAATCCAGTCTATTATCTAAGTAACCTTTTGAGACTGGTTATAAGTTGAATTTGAATCACTTTATGGAAATTATGAACCTGAGGGAGCAGAGTGTTGGCTTACTCACTTGGAAAAGACGTTTTGGGTTATGCAAGTCAAACGAATCTTCCTTCTGACAGGTGGGTCGAGACGACTACCTGATTGTGGGTTATGAATTTGTATCCTGGTGGAAACAGGAGTATTATTCGTTGTCACCAGAGGAAACAGCTGATTGAGAATTATTTAAGGAATTGTTAAAGAAAAGATTTATTCCTCCGGTATATTATGATGGTAGTAAGCAAGAGTTTGCAAAGATGAAACAAGGAAGATGACGGCAAATGAGTATTATAGAAAGTTTTTAGACTTGCCTCGTTTCCATTTGGATATTGTTGCTAAGTTGGTTGAAGTGTTATGTTGTTTTAGGCTGGATAATAAGAAGAAGTGACGTTCTTTGGCGACCACTATCTATTGTACTGTCTATCAAGAGTTTACGAGATGTTGTTGAGGGTTGAGGACTCTGAGAACATGATCAGCGTGAGTAAAAAAAAAAAAAAAAAAAGAATAAGAAAAGAATAGTGATTAGAGGAAAGACGATAAGTTTAAAGATCCGTCATATCAAGTACATCGAAAGACTCAGAGCTTCAAAAGAAGTGAAGTTAGAATTAATTCTTCCAGCTGAGATTTTAATGCCACTGGTCAGAGGCGAAGTGATAGATTTATTGGTGAGCCCAGATCTCAGAGATAAGGTGATTTGAATAAGAGAAATGTACCTTTGTACCGTATGTACAATATTAGACACTTTGGAGAGTGTGGGAATCAGTGAATGTGTTTATGTGGTTGGATGAGACATAGAGGTATGAATGGTCCTTAGAATCAGTTGTTACCCAGCAGTCTTCCCTGACACCACAGTATCGATCCAGCAGGGTTATGGACTTAGTAGTTTGGTCAGATTGGCGATGGGTACAAGGATAATTGATGAGTTATAAGTCCAGCCGTACAGGCCACAAGAGGTGGATCCGGCGAACATATTATTTGGAAAATTGAGGAGTAAGCCGTACAGGTCATTCTAGCTGACTCCGGCTGATATATTTCTTATTATGGACGATGTTGCCAAAGAGAGTAATGTTGGAGCACGATCGAGACGTATTTATGTATTTCTAATGAAGAACAAGATGATAATATTACACATTCAGGGTGTCCAGTGATGGTGGAAGAAGTAGTTATGCCAGTGAATCTTATCCTGTTAGACATTTTCTCGATGTTTTCCCTGAGGAATTACCTGGATTGCCGTCGGGCGGAGATATAGAGTTTAATGTTGATTTGTATCCAGGTACCAATTTTATGCTAGAGATTGGTTTATGATGAGTTAAGAGAATTGGAAATTCGGTTACATGAATTAGTTGATAAAGGTTTTATTCAAAGTACATCACGTTGGGAGAACACCAGTTTATTTGTGAGGAAGATAATGGACATTAAGGTTATGCCTTGATTATAGGCAATTGAATCGGGTAACGATTGAGAACCATTATCCATTGTTGCGTATTGATGACTTATTTGATCGGTTCAGAGGTACCTATGTATTTTCAAAGATTGACTTGAGGTCTGATCATTACCAATTGAAGATTATGAGTGATGATGTTCCTAAGATTGTTTTCGAGGCTCGTTATGGTCATTGTGAATTTTAGTGATGTTATTCGGATTGACGGATTCTCCTGTTTTTATGAGTTTGATGGATAAAGTATTTTAGGAATGCCTTGACAGGTCGTTATTGTTTTCATTAACGGTATTTTGGTATACTCTAAGCCTATATCATAGCATGTTAGATATTTTAAGTCAGTGTTACAAAGTTTGAGGGAACGTCGATTGTATGCTAAGTTTAACGAATGCCAATGTGGGATGAATCAAGAAGCATTGCTGAGATAAGTTATATTTGCTAAAAGTATCCAAGTGAATTCTTAAAAGGTAGCGGAAATTGAGAATGTGGAACAGCCACGAACTGTGATTGAGATTCGAAGTTTTCTTAGTTTGGCAGGCTATTAGGGACGGTTCGTGAAAGATTTCTCAGTCATTGCTTTGCCATTGATGAGATTGACGAGAACTGAGGTTATGTTGGAGTGGGAGGATAATTGTGCGCAAAGGTTTCAACAGTTGAAGTATTTCCTCACTCATACGCGTATTTTAGCACTCCCAGAAGATAGCGGTAATTATGAGGTCTTTAGTTATGCTTCTTTGAATGGTGTTGGATGTGTTAAAGTGGAAGTGTTAAGGTAATTGCATATGCTCCGTGACAAATGGAAACCTCATGAGATAAATTACTTTACTTGTGATTTGGAATTAACAACTA